CTGCCCGGCTCGCCCCCGCCTGCTCCCACGCTCTCCTTCCAACAATCCCATCAAAGCTGAGCAATCAAGTCCCTCCCAGTGGCCCCAGCAGAACACTCTGTGCACCCGGGACTGATATAATTTCCTCTAAATTCAAACCATAGGCTTTTGCCCCATCAGCTTCTCCTAATTCACCTTTTTAATGATGAAGAGATTACTTCAGAATTATTTATAGTATCCTGATGATTCAATTGACTCCTGCCCTCAACCTTTGATGCTTCTTATTCCTCGAACACATGCAATGAGCCCTCCATTTCCCTTCGACTTTTTTTATCCTCTAATCTTGTATTTCCTCTTTTCTCAGGGTTAATGAGAAGAGATGTTAGAGAGTCACCACTGTGAAAGTCGTACCTTCATTATTCTGTAGATAGCAAAAGTCGTATTTAAAAAGATAAAAAACAGATAGCACTTACAGAAATTAAAATTACAGCATGACATAGATTAATATCTGCATTAAGACATAATATTTCTGTTACTCTTACAAAGAGTTCCAGTGGTGGGTATGAATTAAAGAACATTTGGGACAGATAATCTGAAGCGTTTTACTGCATGAGGACAGAACACTGTAATAGATCTTTTAACTCTGAGCCAACTGGTCTCTTAAGGCAAGGAAGGCTGTCCTAAAATCTGACATTGGAAACAGCATCCATGCTATCCCAATTTCCTACATGGATGCTGCTTCTTCCTCCTACTTCTTTCATCCTTAACACAACCATTCATGCAGATACAGCAAACTAATAGCAAGTGTAGCAACCATCGGGCTCCCTCCTAAATACATGTGGAACCGATTGCACTTTAATGAACTCATTAGAAAAAAATCTAGAAAAGGGGTGGAGGACAATAGTCAAGTTCACATCTGTTTCCAACAATTGGAGTCCATGTTCTGCCTCTGGAGTTTGTAGAGTGTGCTAATCTGTTCATTTGTTCATCTGCTCACAAGGTTTTTCATGCCTTGAACCAACTTTTAAAATTTTTTTTAGAAATATTTTCACAGGCCCTTCTCTTCCTTCTTACGATTATACTATTTCCCTATGGTAACTACCACACATTCTCCTGTTTAGTAGTGGCATTATGAAACTATTTAAGTTGTCTTTTACTGCAGTTTTTCAGCTGGAATTAAAGAGGTGAGAAGCCATCAGTACCACACAGTAATAACTAGCTGTACTGTTGGGGAATCTTGTTGGACAGGATCCATCATGTGATTAACTACACAGGCAGCAGGATAAAAAAAAAAATTCATACACATTCTTGTTCACTCTCTGCCTGGAAACATGTATTGGAAACATGTTTGAAGAAAAATTGCAGCTAAAGACATAAGGGATCTATAATAACAAAGGAACTACTCTCATCCTGCTTCAGTATTGTATATACACTCACACACGTACTCTAAAAGGAATTTTAACCAGGGATTTTTACTGCATTGGCTTTAAAATTATACACATACTGTAAATTTTCAGAGAATTGGCAGTAGAACGATCAACTTGGCTTCTCCCTCTGGCACGTCATTCTTCCCCTTGCAAGTCTCCATGACCTTGTGGCAATTAAGAGGAAAGGAGACCATGCTGAGTGGCAAACAAAAATAGATTTATTTCCAGCTGTTTCTCTGTTTTGTTAGGTATCTCCACTCACATGGCAAACATGACTTATATTCAAAGGCTTCACATACACGGCTGATGCCTCCCCTACTGGAGAAAGATACACAGGTGTTAAGTAACAGACCTTTGCCATTGTCATGACTGTGTTCAGCAAGGTGCTACTCAACACGTGAGTAGCTTCTCAGGTATTAGCAGGACCATAATAGAAGAAATTGCGGCTTCAGTTTCAAGTAATTATCCGATTTAATTGGTGTGGTTTGCAATACTGATCTGCTAAAGACACTAGCTGAGTAATTCTAATTGGGGAATAATCAAGGACTTCCCCTGTATTATTTTCCCCAGTATTATCCACCACACACTCAGAGATCTATTTCCCATTTTTACGTGACGCAAATGGGTGCATGTAAAGTTACAACAGCAAAGGGCCACAACCTTCTGCAATAGGAAACAGAGCAAATATCAGGCCACCATGTGTGCAATATAGACTGGGAGTAAAGAGTCTATTCATGAATCACTAATTTTGCTGGGAATATAGTTAATCCAACTTTCTAAGGTTTCTTTTAAAGAAAAGAAAGGTTTCTTTTCATTAAAATGGGTGGGCACACTGCATATCATATTTCATAGGCTTCCTGAGGCATGGCCAGCCTTCATAAAATGCCTGAAATGTGTCAAATGAAAAATTTTGTTAAAATACAAAACCAACAACATAATTCACTAATCTTCCCTGTGACCCACCTTTTCCTTCAGCTTTCTGATTCAGTTTCCTTGCAAATCATTGCTCAGGAAGCTGAAGCCACAGACTGAAAAGAGCCTGAAGCCATGGGATGCTTACCTAATGCTGGCAAACAGAATCCAGCCTAGTGTGCTGGCACCAAGATGACACCAGAGAGTCAATTCCTGCACTGACTCACTGCTGGCTCTAGGCGTAGCACAAAATGTATTGTTTTGAAGAAGGCTGGATCAGAGTAGTTTGCTCCATGACACACAGGCTTGTTAACTTCTCCAGGGAGGGCGGAGACAGAGCTGATCTTCACAGTGCTTCACACTATGAACCATGTGATATGGGGGTTTTAAGTGCATCAGAAATTATGCCTTCATGACAATAGCAGGAGAACTTGGCACTTTTTATGTCCCCTGCCAATCGAGATAATAAACACGAGTACAAGCTGATATGCAGCAGACCAGAGAGGGGCTTGCAGTGGCCAAGGGAAGGTGAACACTCATTCAAGGTGATCACTCACTCAAGCCTGCAGACCTGTGACTCCAACAGAGGCTGCCCAAGAATGACAGAGGCATGGAGGCTCTGTGGAGACTGCCAGGGATGGGTGCTAAAAATCACCACTATCCAAAGCTTTCAACGGCAATGTTTACTTCATTCTATTGAAATCACCACTGCAAGAGGCCCTTCATCTGTTCACTGAACAGAAGTACTGTGGCAGAGTGAACTTCTGCTTCTATGAGAAGCAGCCCAAAAGCTGCATACCCGCTCTGCACAAATCAGCCTCCCCAAGTAATAAAACTCTGCTTCTGCATCTGTTCAACAAGTGCTCTGACCCAGCAGTCAGAAACCAAATGAATTAAGAGAGTGAAAGCAAGTGACCTCTTCCAAATGGGTCATGTAACAAGTCTCAATTTACATTAGGTATTCAACAGCCTCCAAGTAGCAGGAACTTCTGGTCATGAGCAGCTGACAGAAGTTAAGCCTTGACAAGAGCCTAAGGTACCTCCACAGTCTTTCCTCAGGGGCAGGTAGGCAGACTACACAAACCTTGCAAAAATTTCATCATCCACCGATATTAAATCCAGGGTGGTGATTATACTCTTTCATTTCCTTCTCTTCAGGGTAAGGCACTTTCCTCTCCCTACAAGGACTGCTTTTCTACCATATTTTTGTCTCCTGAAGTAATCTCCACTTAATTTTCTCTGTGTTTCACATAAGGTCCCGTTTTCCCCAAGAGTTTGCTCAGCTATATCTGTTGTCAGCCCACGCTGCAAGATTTCATGTCCAATAGCAATGTGATTTTTTTCACATGGCACATATGTCCTCTGTCAACATATACCCTTTATTTAGTCCATTCCTTCTCCCTATGCACCCTGTGGGATCACTGTGCAGTTATTTATTGCTTTTGCCAAGCATTTAACTAGTCCAAGAAAGAGATACAGAAAGACTGTACCAAAAACAAACAAAAAAGCACCTCCCAAAATAGACTTAGTCCTTATGTTTGCTCTCCCTTTCACCAAACTGCCTGCTGGCAAAAATTCACATCCCTGTTCACTGGTATGCTTTTTTTGGCTGCCAGTGTCTTGGGAACATCTCAACAGCTGGATTTTGTGCAAACCTAGATTCATATGATCTCACTGTGTTCTCATATATGGCCATTTTGAAGATGAATGTGCTAAAGAATGCTTTCTGTGATGGCAATCAGTTACTGACTAACTTCTCAGAACACAAATATGTTTGCATCATACTCTTTCTTCTGCTCTCACATCCTCTGTCTTCTGAAAAACCTGCTTTACATTTTAATGGGCATTGCCACATACCCAGATTTTTTGTACTTTAGTTGCCAGTTGTCTTACCCTGCAGCTTCCTTCTGAGTATTTATAAATTACAAAAGCAATCAGAGGTAATTACCTAAGATGATCAAAAATCTCAGGACAGGTAGTCCTACTGCAAAGCAGAATCCCACTTGGCAGAAATATTCTTTCTGGCTGCAATTCCCTGCAGTGGAAAAAACTACTCTCTGATTACAGAAACAACCCCTGGAGGATAATACTAGAGAAAACCCACACTATTTTGTTTAGTTCTCCATGGCTATCAGACCAGCACCTCACTATAGTCAAACATAACACAGTATGCAAAAATATGCAGCAAGTGCCTTAGAGGGACTGAACTGTTGCTGCAGTCTGAGAGCAATTCAGGAGGAACCTCAAGGAAACGTGCTCTAAAGGGGGTGAGTGGCCTCAGCAAAGGTGGTCTGGAATGGAAAATGCCATATTTTTTACAGCATGCCAAAGAGAAAACTGTTTCAATGAATGTTCATTGCTTTTTAGTGTGCGGCACAGAGCATGGCAGAGAGAGCTTGCAGAAATCCTCCATGAACAGGCTCCCTTTGAAATACAGAGATTGCATTGGATGATTCTGCTTTAAAAAAAGGACAAAGCCAAAGGACAAACGCATTCAGAAAACAGCAGCCAGCTATTCATAAATGTTCTTCTTGTGCTCCCCAGTCCCCTCTCTTTAAAGCATAGACAGCACACAGATAACATCTCACTTCAAAAATCACAGCCTAACACATCAGCATCTCATATAGAAACACAAGGTGCAACTGAGGCTGGACTCACTGTTACCTTTTGCACTTCCCCTCTCAGGACCTGTTAATAAGAAATTAAGATTTACGTAAGTTTTCAGCAAGCATAATCAAATTTATTCTCAAAACAAGAATTTGAAATAATTGCAGTACGCTACATAGTGATTCAAGCTAAAACACTGCTAAAACCACTGCCACTCCAATTTTCATAGCTAATTTAAATTTTTATTTCTTAAAAACGTTAACGTATTCAAACCAAGCCTGAGGGCTTAGTAAACATGGAGGTTGTTCTATGCCTCATCAAAGTTATCAGATAAATTCCAGTCACAGAATCTGTTATTATTTTGCCTTGCAACTGAGCTTACAACCTAACTTGTTATGGAAGTCACTAAGGACAATTATACTTTGAACTCTAAGATAGCATCTCTACAGCACCATTTTCAGATATTCAAAGAACTAGATTTTTTGACTGCTAGGGGGCTGGTAAAGACCAAGAAAATCTGTTCTAGCTTGCAGGGGTTTATTTTCAGTGGTTCAACCACTGTCTATCCTGAACAATGGCCTTTGGGATTAATTAGGATGCCTTACTGGCCTCTCATTTTTTCTTGCAGTAGTTTGAAAAAAGGTAACGCAAATGAACATGAGGAATAATACCAGGAAGGAGATACCTTAAGTGTTTTAACATCAGCCTAGAGGGGTCAAAGACTGATACTTATCCAGTCAACACCCAGGAGCCTGCAAGACAATGTTCAACCAGGATCCTGTTAAAAATCACACACATTGCCAGTTCTATTTTTGCGTGTGCTGTTACCAAGCCCAAGCAATTAAAAAACCCTGCCAAACTGAGAAGAGCTCAGATGAGATCAGGAGATCCTATGATAATGTCCAAACATGAAGTACCACAACCACCTCTCCCACAAGACACATTGTACTGCCCAACGAAGGTGTTTCTGTGCTCTTCAAAAAGAGCAATGGTAAAAGCCCTATAAGCTCACGAGATCTAAAGATTGGAAACTGTGTTTTCCAATGCTTTGCCTGCCCCAGATGAAATTCTACAGGGACAGACACATACAGCACCCCTTCCTCCTCCTTTCTCCCTTCCTTGCCTTTCCCCACTTGCTATATTTACAGCATCCAAAGCTTTTCATCGATTTCCATTGTAATCTGTGTACATAAATACAAGCGTAAAAACCCCCAACTTTGGGGAGCCTGGGCCACTTCCAGCTTGGCTGGATAGCTGGGCTGTGCATGGAGCTGGAAGGGTGTTTTTAAAAGGAGGGAAGCAGAAGAGAACAGCTTAAGAATCTTGGCTCAGGCTGGGCATATTTCCGCCTAACTCTGGCTAAAGCTCAGCACGAAGGGCTGGACGAGGAGCCGATAGGAAGCCGGGGAGGGAGGGAAGGAGGGAAGGGGGAGAGGCTGCGGGGCTCCAGCACAGCCACGGCACAGCCCGGGCAGGCTGGAAGCATGCTTTTCCTCTGGGCACTGGCGTTTGCTCTAGTCCTGCAGGAGCAAGACCCTTTAGGTAAGTGACTCTGAACTTGCAAAGCAGAAACTGTAACAATCTCAGTATGGCCAAAGCCTTTGCATGGGGTGGGAGGGAGAGGCAAATAATTGCTTAATTTCTCTATGGATTTCACGTGAAGGTGACACAGGTATGTGTCAAAACTCTCTGATTTGAGAGGTAAAACTCCATTTTTGTGACCTTAAAGTCTGTCCTATAGACATATTGCTTTGGTAGATCTGGAGATTTTTTACTTCTTACATGAGATAGAATCACTCTACCTTCAGAAATTTAGGACCACATTGAGGTGCTGCAGACAGTGCTCTCAATTTCCATAATTACTGTTCTGGCAGCCGTATTAATATCACACTAATCCACTTGGAAATGAGACTGAAGTTCAAAGTGATTAGAGAAAGATTCTGCTTTATTCAAAGCTTTCTTTTTAAACTTCCGGGTAACAGCATCACCACTTTGTTTCTTCTGCTTTGGACTGCTTATTCCTGAGATTTTGAGGTAGAGAATGACTTCTCCAAAAGCTTTTGGAGAATATAAACAGAGAACATCTGATAAGCCTGCATCTGAATTCTACTTTCATTAACAAGAGATTAGCACTGCATAACCTGTAATCACATTGCAGTGCGACAAAGCTATTCAGTTTGGCTAGTTCAAGGGTTTACAGTCCCTGTGTAACCACAAACCTGGCTTCCCAGCCTGTTTGTACTGCATCTTTTCTGCTGGCTGAGGCTCAGATTTATTTTCCCTCTGGTCCTACTTTCTTGACAAGACAATAGCTGTATTTCACGGCAGGGTAGTAAGATCCTATTACATTCAAAACATTTCCTAAAAAACTGTTAGTCCCTTCTGCCCCTAAGTTCTAGTCACTCTTCCTTGCCCTGACTCCCTCCTTCTTAACTGTCTTTGTGATGTTTATCTCAGTGATGAACTGAAATATCAATGCAACAGCAAGAGCACTCTAACTTGCTTTCACTCCACAAGAATTCACTACACTCTTGTGAGTTTTGTAAGCTTCACCGAAATAAATGTGAAATAAAAGAAAATAAAAAAAGGCTTTTTCTATTCCCATAAAAGTAGGGTTTTAACCTAAAATAATTTGCAAACTCAGATAAAATTCAGTTAATTAGAATAGCATCTCAATAATAACTGCAGAGGAGACTAGCACTCAGTATCATGCCAGGTGGCAGCTACTCAGTCAGCACACCATGTTTACTGTCTTAATGGTTTTCATCATGCAAAATGAGAAATTTTGTGTCTGTCATGGCCAGGGGAGCACCCTGCCAGACTGAAGGCTTAAAAAAGCCATCCCCACTTTCCCTCTGCTACCCTTGAGTTGGGGAACATAACTTATGATTCCCTTGCAGAATCCTCCAACCTAACTCCCACGGGTTCCTCTTAAAAATTATTCAGCCAAACTAGAATTTATGTTTTAATTCAGCCATTAATATGAACAATCTCATATTCAAAGAGCTCAGACTCCAAATCATTCAGGAGGAGAGGCTGGCACGGGAGCCCTTCGGGATGCAACCATGTGCTCCTGCCACAGTTCACAGTGCTTTGCTGCCCGTGCTGGGTCATTTGTAGGCGCTGCTCAAATGCAGTGCACAATGTAGTCTGGAGCACAATACCTATTTTCAAGGTATGCCTTTTTGGCTGCCAGTGTCTTTAAACGTGTTTCCAGGCAAATCGTTCCGAGGGGCCAGCACCCCGAGAGCAAACACGGTGCTCCATGTGTGTGCGTGGCAGAGAGGTGACCTGGAGCTCCTGGGCGAACAAGCCCCAGCCCCCGCGCCATCAGTGCAGCACCAACACCGAGCGCTCCACCAGGGACAGCTTCCAGACGAGGCGCTGCTGCTCCACACCGTGGCGTGATTTGCTTTCCAACAGCACAAGTTCCAGCCGGTTCTAACTACGAGTTAAAGTAAATCAAGTGTATGAATGCTTCTCTTCATTCACCTAACGTTTTTTGAATTCTCAAGATGTTTTGAATCCTCTGATATTCACATGCAATATCAAAGCTGGGAAGCTCTATAAGCTAAACCATTATCTAGAAAGTGGGGGGAAAAAATCCTTTCAGAACAGCCAGAATCTGCCCCAAATTGACCATTTGCATTGTCACAGAGAAGCATTTTTTCTCTAGGAGATTAAAACACTGCATTGTAGAATTAAAGACACAGTAAAAACTTATGATAGATATCCTATTTTAGGCCTGACTTGGACTTATATTTCTCTACTAACAAACTAATAATGGTTTAACCTATACTCCATGTTATAGCTATTTCCTGTCCTTATAGAAACCCACCAGCATTACTGTCTCCAACGCAAGGATTACAGTCCTTGCAGAACCCACCTCTGAGTGCTAACAAGGAAGGAGAAATAAAGTTTGCAACAACAAAGTGTACCCCAAAATCACAGTGTTTTTTAAGATTGTGAGTTATCTGGAGATCAGGGTTTGGTACAGAGCCTTTTATAAAGAGATTTTATATATCTGTAAAGCCCTATGTTTTTATATATTGAGTTAAAAGGAATTTCAATTCTGTGGACATTATAACTTCTACATGTAAAGCAAAAGTTACTATCAAACTCTCCCAAAAAATGAGGAGTTTAGAAATATAGGACTCCTGTTGTTCGCCTGCAGGATGAGGGTTTATTTATAAACACAGCTGATCTGCTCTGGCTGAAGCAGATGTAAGTCCTGGGCCTGAATGTCAGCATCTACTGTGTGTGTGTGTATCTGTCCTTCTCTCACTATTCTACTTCCTGACTTGCTGCAGACTGCATGAACTGTCAGCCAAGAGAAAATAGATCTTCAAGCAACTCCTTAGATTTGTTTAGATTTTAGGAAAAAACCTAAAATTATATTCTTTCATTTTACTTCTTTCTACTGCCATGACTTAGACATATGAAAACTACACAATCACAAAACTGACTAATAAGTCACAGACTCACCCCATCCACTCCCCATGACCATCATTTCTATTACTAAACACAGACCAAGAGCCACGTTCTCAGAAAATTGAGAAACTCTTTATCCCTGATACCAGTGGTTATCCTCAAATTGATTATTCATCTCACATCCGCCACTTTCAAGCCAGCCTTAAGCTCACTAATTCTGCACAACTTGGATTCTTTATGGATACTAAGACACAGCTCCTTCCTAAACAGCTTCCCCTTCTCTACACACAAGTGTGTCCTACACAGCTTCTAGCTATAATCCTCCTAACGTTTAGCCTTGGTTTCCATAACAAAGATGCATTCACATGAAAATAAATCCATAATAAAGGCAAACTTTTCTGGAGCCCAAAGCATCATTGTAAGATACAGCATGAATTAGAATAACGTACCTGCTAATTACGTAGCTTGTGCCTCTTATCAGTCCAACTCCCTGCAGTCATTTTCCACTGCAGAAACAAGTGCAAGAGGATATTTTCTGGCTGCTTGTTCTGAAGACCAGCATGCTGAAAACACTCTCCAAGCCAATAGTTCCCTCACAGGAACATTTAATTACTATCCTTCTTCCTTTGAATGAAAATACACAAAACTTAAGTGCTTCTTACAATCACAGATATGGTCAAATTGCAGAAAAAGCAAAGTAGTTTTTCAAGTAGCAATATTGCTTCTGGCACATAGCCATGGCAAGGGCCCAGATTTTTTTGTGTGTCAAAAAAACCACCCACTGGAAGCATGAACTATCCCTGGTCTTGTGCACTCCTTCTCAGTCTCCACTGCTGGGTAAGTGAGAGATGAATCCCCTTAGGAGAATTACATTGGTCACAACAGCAAAAGCTGCCTGTAAATAAAGTAGTTTAACACAGAAATGTATGCTATCTACTCAGAAACAACTGCTACGAGGTCCCATTTCTGATTTTGCACATTTCACAAGCTCAAGTGATGTGCCTTGTTGTTCTGCCATAAAAGCTAGAGCCTAGTCAAGGCGTGTGCAAAATTAAATATTTACATGTGTATGTATATATTTACATGTGTGTGTATATTTACATGTGCATGTATATATTTACATGTAAATATAAGCAAACCCGTGCAGTTGTCTCCAGTGTGAAGCATATGGCAGTGTGTAAGTTGCTAGGGAATTTTATTTATTTATTGCAATTCCTGCAGTCTTTATTGCAATCACTAAAGGGAAGAACTCCCTTATCTTTAAGATAATACAGACTGAACTCTAAAAAGAGGTAGAACTACCTGGTTAGAACTACCCAGAGGTGTCAAAATCACAGTTAAGCATTACTGCTTCATGGATTATAGCCAGAAAGATGCTCTATGTCCAGTTAAAGATATGCTTCTGAGTGGCTAAGAACTTGAAGGGAATCTGTGCCCTAAAAAGTATTTTCAATGCAACATTTGCTATCCAAATAAATTATTTTTGATGTCCTAACAATAAAATTTTATTTGGCTTGAGTTATGTATCACAGCTTAAAATGAATTTGGATGTACTGGTGATAATGAAACTGGTAGTGACACAGAAACTTAGTTCAGTACTTCCAAAGACAAGGATGCCAATGTAATTAATTAAGAGCTGGCATTAATGGAAACTTACTTTGATGCCTTGAAGAACAGCCCCCAAAATTAAATATGACTAACAGTTTTAGCTTAACATAGTCTATGGTCTGAAAGCACCAGTACTGATAGTTATTAGTATCAGTTCAGATTCAAAGCAGTTGAATCTTTCCTGAATTCAGCTGCAAGTTATCTTCACCAATCACTTTAGGAAACTATGTGATTTCTTGAGCTAGCATTTCAAAATTACATGCAAATTTCCAAGTGGAATCCAGCACTTATATTTAGAGAAAATTAATTTAAGCAAGGGTCAGCAAATCCATTCAGAAGTCTGTTGCATTCCTCCCACACTGGATAGTGGATTCATCATTTGAACATGATCCTCCAGTTCATGACCTTTTCCTTGTTGGAACATAAATCATTACTATTGCCATTCCTTTTCTCATCAAAGGCTGTCTGGCCACCTTATGCTCCATGCTTTAGGAATAAAATGATATTACTAAACCTAAGGCAGTGCAAACAAAAACACAGAGCACAGCATGTTTTCTGGAAGAGTTAGTCATGTTCTGCTTTATTCCTCTTGCTCTATCACGTGTTTTCAGGTTTCCTCATTTGCCATCTGGTTCCTGTTTCAATCTCCCATGTCTCCCACTTGGCTTGTGGCCTGCTTTGTTTTATCCCTCCCGCCCTACTGAGCACAAACAAGACCTTGCAGTCAACTTTCAAAACCACACTGATCACAGAACGAGGCCAAAGAATTTGACAGGTTTTAAGACCAATGGGAAACATTGTGGTCACTCACCTTGACCTTCTTTGTAATGCAGAGCAAAGAACCCAACCCAGCAATTTCTAGATCAAGCCTGTAACTTCATTTGGAGCTGCAATGTGTCATTAGGAAGGTTACTTTAGAAGACCTACCAGATCTGTGTGGTCACATACTTCAGTTCTGGCAGTCCCAGTAACCACAGAAAATGACAGCCGAGAGTGCCTTGGGTTTATTCTGGTGCTTATCATTAACTACTTGGATGATCAAAATGAACCATTTAACAGCACCTGGATAGAAGGAACCCTGACAGTCCTAGAAGAGAACTTCATCAGGGGGCACAGAGAAGGAACACCTTGTGGGTTGGGGGAATATATCAAATGTACAGGAGGCAGAAGAGCTTAACAGAGGGATATTCTTAATCAAAAGCCTCTGCTCATAACCTGTTTAGCAAGGCTGTTTTGATTCTTACTTCATTGCTCATTCTCTCCCTTGCTATAAAACCAAGTTTTGTACAGCCAGGCTGACCAGCATACACAAATCTTACTCTCCCATGGTCTACTTCTTTCAAACATGAGGCATGTTCTTCTAGTCAATAAATCCTTATTACCAACCAGTTCAGAGATGCTCCATTTCCCTGCTGGTGTCTGACTGCATCACAGCCCACGGTGGTTAGAACTACTCAGATTTATGGGGCACCATCAATGTAGCACAGAGGACTTAATCAGAGCAAAAAGGCATGAGTCGTTTTCTTATCTTGAACATGAGAGTTCTGGTTCTTGATGGAAAATAACCATCCTATACATCAAATAGAATGGATTTCAAGAACTTAACTGAACATCTTACTTGCAAGAAACATCAGGTGGAAATTTGCAGATGGGACATTAACTGAAAGGTAATGCTCTCTCTGCCATATTGAAATGTTGCAAGTGTCTGCATGAAACAATCTATTAAGTTTCAAATTAGATATTTAAGACATTGAAATATGCCTCCTACACACTTGCCTAAGCTGTCAGAAGTTGCAAACACCTACACATTTTAAATATGTAATTTATATGGAATACAAAGAACACTTCACTCTTAAAAGTGGTTAGCTTTAAAACTTACTACCAAAGTTGTCTCTATGCACATGCTTTGAAACACAGACAAGTAAAAAGTCCAATTTACATTTTAAAAATGTTTCTTCAGTAACTCCAGAAAGCAAGTACCTGGAAGTATCCTAAGTCATTAGTCTTTTGCTTACATAGTTTGCAGCATTCTGCTCTTCACTTCCTCTATATGATGACTGTAAAGTCACACGGTGACTTCATACATATGAAGTAGAAATGGTGCTGGAGTAAGGTCAGTGCCAAAGGCAGGTTGTGTCCCTTTCTTTCACCAACTGCAACAGAGAAGGGCAGTGCTCCTAAGCAACACTCCACGTGCTCTCTTTCAGCACATGGAAATTACTGCTTTGGCTGAACTGCCTGACCATAGTGACCCAGATATGTGCCATATTTACAAGGGACTGGATGTATCCTGTGAACAGCCCATCCCAGAGATAGAGCTGTGGCTTAAGAGGTAAAGCCAAACAACAGAATAACAATGAATGTTTTGGAAAGCCAAAGCCTCAAGCCAGGACTCAGAAAAAAGAAGAAACCTACACTGACTGCCCAGCCACTGGCAGCTGAAATAGCCTGTTCTGGTGTGGTGGTGAAAGGGCAATTGCAAGAGCTGGAGCAGCTCTGTTGTGGTGTGAAAGTCACTAACAAGACATGGACATGCAGGTCCTGAGAGGGTTTCTCCTAGCTCAGCCCTCTCACAGCTCCACCCTGTGCAGTCTACAACTAGTCACGCTTATGCTTATACCAACCCTTAGCCTTGCTAACATCGGCTATCAGGTGCTTCCTGAGACATTTAGACTTGGCCTGTTTGTCAAAGTTTTAGGCACTGCACTAATTCTGTGGTTCTGAGCGATATCTTACAGCCCTGTCAAACTAGGACTCTGTCCTCCTTCAGTATGGCCATTACAGCTGGTAAGGCAGCAAAGCATTGTGAGCGATGGAAAGCTGTCTCCTGGGTAAGGAGAGGAAGCCAAGGAACCAGGAGCTACTGAGTCCTGTGTCCCATAGCAATCCCTTTATCTCCTTCTCTAGGTACACACAAAGCTCTGTGTGTGTACACACGATGCACACAAAGCTGTGCAGCGCTTTGCTAAGCTCACAGTAAGATGCAACAATCTTACACTGGCTGTACATAGCTATCATGGTATGTATACATGTGCTTTGAGTAACTGTCAGTCCATCGTATCTAACCTCCCCGCCTACAAACACCTGACTAGAGAATCAGCCACCACAATTTCAGTATCTCCACACTGTTCCAGTCATGATGGAAAAAAGACATGTCAAGAAGCAAAAATTTTGAGAAATAGCACAGTACACTTGACCACTAAGACAGTTACAAGACTCATAAACCACCACCACTAGCAGCAAAGAGAAGGAAAAAAAGGGTAATTGCAAAGCAGCTGGTGTTGAAATACCTGCTCTATTTCAGCACTCTTCCATAAACAGGTAGATGAAGTCTTCAGGATTCTGTCCTAACAGCACCACCTTCTGGTACTGCACTAAAAAAAACCCCTAACCAAATCTCTGTCAAACCAATTTCTACATAATACCCAGTAAGTCAGGTCACTTTATAATCCCCCCTCCACCCCCCAATTCCAAGGATGCCATTCCAACTCAGTACATCTCTCACGGTCTCCAAACTGCAGTGATCCTTACTGACACGTTTGCCATCACCTGACACCTGCACTCCAGAAATCTTGGCACAGGCTTGACAGGAAGCACTGCAGCAGTTCCAAACCACTGCTCTGGCACAGCAGCACTGGAGACAGAATTAGTTACTGCTCTTGTCTGTCTTACTGTTCATTACAACACAAGCTCTGTTTTGTCTTTGTTACAGACAATGACAGAATGAGTGACTGTTGCTTCCTCATTATCACAGCTGCTTCAAGCATCAAACAAGAGCAAAACCTAACTTAACACACAGGAAGATATGTTATCACTTTAGCAGAGTTTAAAATATTCCACTAAAGTCCTCCACACACTTTTGAAAATTTAACTGTTACTGAAGTTATGAAAAGCAAATAGGCTCCACTAAAGCATGGACACTATCAGCTACTGATCTTTCATGGAGCACAGCCAGCAAAATGAAAAGTTCAAAGAGCAGGAGCTCATGAGTACTGAGAGGTAAACACAGATAACTGACAGAGAAATGTGACTTTGTATAGCAAAGTCAGCAAACATGCTCAGCAATAAAACAATTGTTATTGTTTCCCTTCCCATTGCAAAGTCAGACTGTCTGGGACAACCTTCTGGCAGAGAGGAACCATCAGCATCCATTTGCAAGGTGGACAAGCTTAGCTAGTCTTCAAAGCTTTACAGCACCAGTTGCTTCTGAACAAAGTCTATGAGGAACTGTTGTGTTAGGCAGATCTTCCCAACAGTTAGGTTTGACACCCAAGAGAGAGAATCACAGCCTATAAACTTACCCTACACATGCAGGAAAAAATAGGTTATGTAAAACAAATACATACATACAAAAAAAACCCAAAACAAACACCCACGGCAAGAGAAAACACCTTGTTCCAACCAACATGACGTGTGCAGGCAACTACTAGGGCACAGCTGTAGTTATTGGAAAAGAAGTTCAAATCCTACATTTGGTTCATCAACAATGCTGTGTAGCATGCAAAATAGCACTTCAGAAATCAGAAAGGCAAGGACTGCTATTAGCCCTCTGGCAATTACCTGTGTCTCTATTTCCAGCTGCTGCTGATCCTGTCACTATGGCACCTGAGAGTTTGGAAACAGGAACCTGGTGTAATGAACACATGCTCCACGAACGCTTAGATATTATTGAAGAGGTAAGAGGGATTGTGCTGGCTCCTGAACCTTACCAGACCTCTGCCCTATCCTTTTGACCAAAGAAAAAGGATGTTTCTAGACAGTGTCCCTTCTTGATTTTATTAGTCAAGGTTGGACTACTTTTTTCAGATGTCCTATTTATCCATAAATCCATAAAGCCGTTATCACCAGAAATATGTAATCTTAATGAATTAAAAAAAAACTGATTAACAATTTTTTATATATCAGCCTCTTCTCCAATGTTTATCATCTAAACATTCTAATCTGTGCCTTTAATCTAAAAATCTCAGAATCTGTATTTGTAAAGTTTCACACTGACTTATGGGTAGATGTGAGTTCTGCAAGTGACTCCAAGACTGATAGAGGAATTTCTGCTCACCTCAGCTGACACTGAGCTCCATGATGAGGATTCCAGGAAAGCTGCAAAGTTTGATTTTTTTTTCCCCCTGGTGTCTTAAGCACATATCACAAGATACCTGTTTACTCAGCTTAACTAACCTGCTAATTCTCAGCTGGGTAGTTCCCAAACATCATGCTGTGGTTCTCAAATGGGAACATGACCTCCCTTCTGCCCTAGTCCCAGTCCTCATCCTTACACCCCATCAGCTTCTCTTATCGTCCATGCAGATACTTTTATTGCATTTAATAAATTGCATTTCTGTCAGAAATGAGAAAGAATTAAAAACCAACTAATGGAAAGCTCCAAGAATTTAAATTCTTCTTTATACAGGGCTGCTGTAACATAACTCTTGCAAAACCGAGTGCTAATACTTGGTGCCACTAGAGGCCAGCAGAACACAAGGAATGTTTAAACCTGCAATGCGCATTACAGATTAAATTAGCTGTTGGCAGTAAAGGATATGAGGTTTGCATTTCTGCAAACACATCTGCTGCAATTCCTTCCACTTGACCCTCTGACTACCTTCTTTCTCCATTTGTCTCCCTTGTTTCCATTAGAAGGTAATAAAAACAGTGGAGCACCTAGAATCAGAAGTCAAATCACTCCTCAACATCATCAGTGAGACAACAGTGAATATCCCCACCGTTCCAGGAACTCCACTTATAGACATTTTTGATGGTCAGTATCTCGTCAGGTATAACCTAAGTTGAAAAAAGGGTTACATATGTTATTATTATATATGCCATATTTTCTCTCTAAAGATGTGAACTAATTCAGCTCAGTGTAGGTAAGGCCTCAGAACTGGGGGCCTCAGGACCCCAATTGCACATCCAGCTTAGAAAACCAGATTTCAACAACCTCTGAAGAGAAGGCTCGGAGCAAAGGAAGCAACTCACCTTAGAACAGCAGGACAGACTAGGTAATCTCAAGGTCCTTTCCAGATTTAAGATCCTGTGATTCTTTAGCTTCATGTGTGACAAAATACAGGATGGCATCACGATTTTACAAAATTGGAGGTATTGCCATTTTATCCTAAATCCAACTTTGACATGCAAGCCCCTCATACAAAATATGTTCCTGGATAAATGCTTTTGGAATAAATTAAATCACAACAGAAATTAGTTGGATGAGACCACCTCTTCTACTCACTTTCTTATAATGCTCTATGCTCTTCATCCTCTGCCTAAATATCAACAGTGCATTTAACAAGGTGAGACACTCTTGGTGGAAAATAAACCCTTGTGGACAGATGAAAGCATCCACAGACATGTTTATAAAGTCAGTTTTGTCAGTGCTGAGCTGTTTGTTCATTAAGGTAGCTGTACCTGGGCACACCACAGTGCACTTACATGATGGAAGTAGGCTTGAAGTAAACAGCAGCAGAGTTTATGCTGGTTTTTGGTTCTTGGAGGTGGCTGTATGGATCTGGTAACCATGACTGATACTATCCTCACCAACTTTGTTATCCATTAAAGTTTATGGTTTTCTGTGAGGGGCAGTTAACAGGTTAACAATAAAGTTACTCCCCTGCAAGGTAAGGGGATATCCCAGTAAAAGTGAAAAATATTCCAGTAAAGCATTGCAGTGAATTTAAAACAGAAATCAGCACATCTGCAGCAAATCTATAGCAAGTACTATTCCGATCGATCTTGCTACAACTGCCAAATTGCTCAAGAATTACAGATTGGACCTTTCTTCTATGATTTTGTGCATCAAAGTGACAATTTCCCACTTTAGAGTAGCAAGATTCATTGTTTTAAGAGAGATTTATCCATAAAGATTGATCCTGATCTCATAACCAAAAATAATCACATCAACTCTTCTCTATACAGATACCAGCTGAGCACTGTGAAGACAGAAGACAGCTGAATGTAGCAGTGTGGGTGTCATAAACAGTTGCACTTCTGATCATTTAATAAGCTTGTGTTTCCACAATTTGTGCAGGGTGAACAACCCTCAGCTGTAGTTTCTCTTCTGTGTTGCTGTGCTTTATAATAAAAAGGTATTTGCTTTCAGATAGAGTTTTAAACTTTGCATTCTAAATCTTTCAGGTGCCCTACTTTATCAAAACTGCATTTCAAATGTCAGTAAGAGAACACTGTCAGTAAGAAAACAAGATCAAGTGGTGTTCAAGACTATAGCACAGCTAACAAACGTCCCTTAATTCAAAAGCTTCCTCCTTCCCCTGCAAGGAAGTGAATCCTTGCTATTGGTTTCAGCCAACAAAGATAGACTTGCAGCTGCAAATTCCTCTCAAGACATGCTCAGATTGACAGAAATAAGTGTATGGTCTGCCTTTGGACACAGGACACACTGCTGCCATTGACCAAACTGAGTCCTGTCAGCAAGTCCCAGTCAGAATCCATCATTTGGACACATGGCTATCATATTCTGTAATCTTTACATTCCCCTCCCTTGCCACGGTGACAAATGCAACCCAGAATTAAATCCACGACACTGCCTTTTTCTTTCAAGACAAATAGCAATACAACTTCTAGGAAAAAGGACCTGCCTGACCCTTACATGTCAGGAGAACACTTACATGTATGTACTTCAGTAAGGGGAGGTTGCACATTCCTGATTAACAAGCCATCTATTTTCACTGACCTAGTTTGGAAACCTTTCCCCCACTTTGTACTTTCTACCTTTATGTGTTTTTATTTTGAAAACAACAAGCTGAAAAGATGTCATCCGTGCCAGCAGGGAATAAAAACTCAGAGTTCCAAGAGTAAGAGAAATTACAACATGCAAACTGAAAATACTAAGCAATAACTACAGATTACATGTCTCATGTACAGACAATTGCTCATCAACAGCACACAACTCCCTAACTGTAACCAAAACAACAATTTCTGAATAATCCTGTGGCAGAGAATTTCTATGGAAAAACAGTTACATAAACTGAGTCATCACTCATATACATCAATATGACATCAAAAGGCACAGTCTGCAAAGACTTAGCTTTAATTTCATAATCTCTTCTTACATATATATATATTTAAGGCACAATCCAAAACCTTTAAACAATAATGACAGAATCTTGACTACTGTCAACATTACTCCTGCCTTGTGACAGTCTGCCTTAGCAAGAATGAAATGTAAAACATAACTTCCTTGAAAAGAATCAAGGTAAAAAAACAGAACTTGACAAAACTACTTTAAAGCAGTCTTAACTAGACACAAAACCTCGAGGCTGCTATCTCCACATATCAGGAAGTCGGCTAGCCCAAAACCAACTCTGCATACAACAGATATAAAACTTGCATTAAAATGGCACTCAATGTTTATACAAAAGAACACCTTAAAATCATACAACTGTGATTGTTGTTAAACAAACATTATTTCAACATGATATAAGCAGAAAAGAAATAATGACCATTCACGTATTGCTGAGTGTACTACACAGAATCCTGAGAAGATGGCGCACAAGCTTGGTATTTTGGGGGGCCTTGGCATTTATTACCTACTACTTTTGAACTGAAGATATATGCAGTATTATCTTTTAAAATGCAACTGCTTTAGAAGAAACAGGTTTTACAGGTTTACATATTTACTTATGGAGAAAAAAAGACGCTCTGCAGCAGCTTTTTTAAGAAAAACTCAATGCTCCATTTAGTCATTTCCACCACACAACTTGAGTAGGATTTTCCGGTAGTCTCCTGAAGTATCACCCTGAAAAGGAACACAGAAAAAGAAAAGTTGAAGAATAACCAAAAGAGGGGAAGCTACAGTTGAAAAACTAAGAACTTTCTTTCCAGAGACATTTTTGCCTCTAGTTTTACAGAAATAAGCAGCAGAGCTTACATATGTGGATATATAGACCCCATATTTACTGAAGCCAAGTTCTGGTCAAAAATAGTCCATTAAATAGATTTGGCCTGGTCTGCCTCTGAATGATAAATTACAATGTCAGATCAAAAGAGGAACAGGGCGAAGAAGCAATACAGAGCTTTTTCACCAATGTCTCACTGCTTTTTACTCAGACATTGGTGGTTACAGGGCATGCAACTACTGTAGAAGAAACACTTGGAACATGCTATCCTCCAGAATCTCTACAGGATTCTTTCCAAACACTACTAAGTTACAGCCCCTCAGTGTCCACAGCAGAAGGAATAAACAGGGGCTTAATAGGTTTGGCACCCTCATTACAAGGTAAATAAAAGTGGCACCACTCACTCTCCTCCAGTTCTTATTACCCTACCATTGGCCAGGCATCCAGAGTCTGGGCTGTTGGTACAGCTCTAAATTGCAATAGGAAGGTGGATCAACTGCTAATGAATCTGAAGTTGAATCTATTTGCAAAGTCTTGTACTTTCAAGAGAAAGAGGAGGCAATTCTTTAGATTCTTAGAAGCTTTATATTCTTCCAATACACAAATGAAGTAGAGCACCTCTGTTACTCAACTGGAGGACTGAGTGGTTCCCACAAGATCATATAAGGAGATTGGGACAGAGAGGCCTCAGAAACTCCCCTGGACCAATTTTCCTTTCCTTCCTTGCCTGTTAGCTTCATCCCCATCTCTAGTTCATCAAGCCTCCATGCAAACCCAAGTGCTCTCCATCCTCTGGCCCTGAGCCTCCATGCTCCTGGCAAATGCAGCAATCCAACCCAGCCAGCCACACTCAGTGCAGGTAACAGCGGCTCAGCACAAGGAGCAGTGTTCTGCCAGCATAGGGGCTGTCATGGCAGGGCAGGGCAGGGCAGGTCTCCAGGGCTTACAGTGATGTCTGAGTAGAGGGATCTGCCATACATCCGCTTGTACTCTGCACGTATGTCCAGCAGGTCAACCTCGCTGCGCGATACCATGATGCGGATCAGCGTCCTGTCCTTGGTTCCTGCTCCCTGAAACAAACAAAGCAGCAGTATAATGCACTGCAAAGTGTATGATATAGCACCAGGAAAAAAAATGAAATGCCTGTTTGCTGGCATAACCCCACTAACTTAATAAGCTTGAACAGTATTTAGCCTACCATGCTAAAATACATTACATTTAGCAGTAGGACACTAATTTCTCTGCACAAGAACAGTTAAAAAAAAAAGAGGGGAATTGACAGAGATACAACGGGGTCAGGAAAATTTGGTGAGTTAAATGGCCTACTTATTTATTTCTGCTAGAATTCCCCACTTAAGAAGTATCAATTCCAGTGAGTTTTAAGCATATCTGTGTTTCACCAAGTGAAGATTATTGTTTAATGCACAGTTGTATTCGTTGCTCTGTTAAGGTCGATCAAATTAGCTAGATTTTCCAGCCTTTCATAATAATGATTGCATCATGACTGTTAGTCATCTGCCCACTGAAAAATGTAATCCCTTCAGCTGCACACTTCCTTCCCAAGAGCTGTACAAGCATTTAAAAAACTCCACACTGTAAGTTTATGTAACTTGTCACAGACACCTACCTTCATTGCTTTATGTAATCTCTCTGCAAAAAAAGCTGGTGTGTTCTTGAGACACTTCACTGCAAAAAGGAACAGAATTACAGAAATAAGGCATTCCTCCTCAATCAGAAGTCAGTAAGTTTTTGACTTTATCCGACATAGTCACATGCTTGAATTTTACATAAACATACACTTGATATAATGCAGCTTCCACTCCTTCCATTAGTCACTGAAATTCTTTTAAATCCAAACACTAACTGCAATACAGTTAAAAAACCTGCAACGCATGGCTTAAAGCAAACATTTTTGTCAGTAGAAACCATCTAGTGTGAAGCAGCCATAATGAACTTTTGAATTCTCATGACCAAATTCTTGTTTATGAAGGGAAAAGAGGGGATGAGGAGGGGGCAGAAGACTTGAAGTAATATATAGGTAGTAGTGCTACTGGCTTCTTAATTCTAAATTTTCAGGCCATGCATCTGCAAGGTGTGACAAATTCAAGTCCCGCCCTAGGACAAATTAGGAAACCATCTATGACAGCAGGGAATCTTAGGTGGTTCCTTCTCCTTAAGGGTGAGTCATCACAACCCTTATTTTAAAGTCTTATTTTAGCCACAAAGTTCATCAGGACTCCTGAAAAATTTTTAACAGGCTAATTTAGTAATGACTGGAAGGTAATATTTAATTGGCATAGCTCATCAGAAATCTGAAAGAGCAAAATCTAAGTCAAATTGCTGTCATGTTAATCAGGATAATGAAAGAATTGTCCATCACTGATCACAATTAAAATCTATATATTGATGCAACATTGTTACAAGTCAACAATCATGCAAAATGTGGCAAACTACAGAGGAAACAGACCACACTTGACATTTAATAGCACAATAAGGTATCAAAATCAATCCCACAGAATCAATACAGAACTAAAGGGGTAAACCCAGACAAGTTTTTTCATAGAACACACATTCTGTATAGGAAGAAGTATTTTTCTCAGTAGGAAAATGTAGATGAGAGATAGCAGTTCACCACAAAACTGTCAATGATATGTACAATACTGTTCAAAAATGAATGACAAAATGAAATGCATGTTTCTGTATCACTCTATTTAGCTAACACAACACACTGCATTCTAAGATGTTTAAAGATATTGTTGTAAGTTACCAGTTGTACAATCCAGAAAGCTTTAAAGAAAGCAAAATCAAATATTTTCAATTAGAAACCCCCTTTTTCCTGCAAGTAAGGTCCACAGAACAAATGACATTAATATAACTTACTGATATAGATACATGTTATGTACATATAAATAAAAAACCCCACAGAATCTATTTAATAAAGGGAGTTATTCAGTGAATATTAATGGCAAGCCTTGCTCAAAAGGCTATTGACTTGTCTGCCAGCTACAGTCTTAGTCTGTGAATCTGGACCTACATGGAGACCTGTCAAGTCACTATGAAGCTCCATGAAGTCAAATGCCTTCTAAATGCTGAGCAGTTTCTTTACCAAGGCAATATTTTTCTACAAACAGAAATATATTTTCCCTAAGTTTGGTTTTCTAACAGTAGTTTCTGAGGTGACAAAGATTGAATCCTGGAAAAGGTTTGTAAAACAATCACACACAATGAGCTAGATCCAGTTTGTG